GAGACTTTCATCTGAATGAAGGGCCAGTGGGGGCACTTTGGGGAGGGGGAAAATGTGGTTATGCTCCTTAGTCCATAGCTGCTTAGGTGTTAGTGTGGCCATCCTGTGTGCCAGGTATCCGCATGCCACAGGGGTCCTGGTAGGGAAGGAGTTCTTGACTGTCCCATTGTGTTTTGCTTACAGGCTCTTCTGGCGCGGAAAGCCGGCGGGGTCTAGGCTGAGCCCTGCGTGGAGATGGAGAACCACACGGTGGTTGCGGGGACCAACTCCTGCACTTTCCAAGAGGAATTCAAGCAGGTCCTGTTGCCCCTGGTCTACTCCGTGGTCTTTGTGGTGGGGCTCCCGCTGAACGTCATCGTCATTGTACAGATCTGGCTCTCCAGGAAAGTGCTGACCCGCACCGCCATCTACATGCTGAACCTGGCCATGGCCGACCTGCTGTACGTGTGCTCCTTGCCGCTGCTCATCTACAACTACATACAGAAGGACTACTGGCCCTTCGGGGACTTCACCTGCAAGTTCGTCCGCTTCCAGTTCTACAGCAACCTGCATGGCAGCATCATGTTCCTCACCTGCATCAGCATCCAGCGCTACCTGGGCATCTGCCACCCTCTGTCGTCCTGGCACAAGAAGAGGGGCAAGAGATTCACCTGGAAAGTGTGCGGTGGAGTGTGGGTCGTCGTCATTGCTGAGTGCCTGCCCACCTTCGTCTTCGCCTCCACGGGCATCCAGAGGAACAGAACCGTGTGCTACGACCTCAGTCCCCCGGACCGCTCTGCCAGCTACTTTCCCTATGGCATGACCCTGACTGTCACAGGGTTCCTCCTCCCCTTCGTCGCCATCCTGGGGTGCTACTGCAACATGACCAGGATCCTCTGCCAGAAGGACGAGATGATAGGCTTGGCCGTGCGCAAGAAGAAGGACAAGGCCATCCGGATGGTGGTCATCGTGGTCATCGCCTTTGCCATCAGCTTCTTCCCCTTCCACCTGACCAAGACCATCTACCTGATCATCCGCTCCTCGGCAGGGGTGCCCTGCCTGGTCTTGCAAGCCTTCGCCATCGCCTACAAGTGCACCAGGCCCTTCGCCAGCATGAACAGCGTCCTGGACCCCATCCTCTTCTACTTCACCCAGCGCAAGTTCCGGGAGAGCACGCGCCACTTGCTAGACAAAATGAGCTCCAAGTGGCGGCACAATGCCTGTGGCACATACAAACCATAGGTGCTCAGGAAGGACGTATGGGAGGGGTGTTCTGCTGCATGGGGGCAGAGGACGGAGTGGTGGGGGCCTTATCCCAACCAGCCCTGCTTTACCCAGCACCAAGGAGAGAAAGAGAGAGAGTAGGAGGCAGGATCTGAGGGTCATGAGCACAGAGCTGGGAGCCAGGAGCTTCTGAGTTCTAATCTCAGTTCTGCTCATGGATGGGTCACTTGGCTGCTCTGTGTCTGTTTCCCCATCTGTGGAACGGAGAATACTCTGTAAATAACAGGTAAAATTATGCTGACCTGCCTCCCATTGGTCAGGGCCCAGAAAGGGCTTTGAGTATGGACCATACTCAGAAGAGTTCATCCTTAAAATTCCAGCCAGGCACCTGAGCTGGGAGAGGCTCCAATATGGTTGAAAAGAAGGAAGCGAAGACAATGGGGAGTAGGTGGTGTCCGAACGCAGTGCTAGTAGCAGGCCTGTGATACACCGCAGCTGGTACAATGAGGAAGGCCATGCAATGTGCTGATCCGCTGCTCGCTATGAACCACTGCTCAGTCTATGGATTTCAGCAGCACCGCTGAGAAACTGGTGGTCTTGGCCAAAGGTCTCTGACTGACAAAGTGTGGGGCTTTGCAGCAAATTGTACTACTGACAAAAATAACAATGGGTGGTACTCGACACTAGTGGACTTGCAGCCCCGATGGGTTTGTCCTGAAGTGCTTCATTTAGAACGAAGTTCCCAGTGGATTTGGGAAATCGGTTACATGTTGAACCTCTCTAGTCTGGCACCCTGGGAATCTGGCCAGTTCCGAGTGAGAGAATTTTCCAGACCACAGGAGGTCAATATTGTCCAGCAGCATTACGAACACTTCCACTGCTTACTGGGCTGTTAGAGGACATTTAAAGGTAAATTAGAGCTAAATAACCACACAGAACACTGAGAGCCGGGAGTGGTGGCTGTAAACAGACTTTATGGGACTGCGGGAAACTTGGCCATGCCTAGGAAAATCTGGCTAACTAAAATCATTCTGGACCACGGATGTTTCCGGACCAGAGAGTTCTGGACTAATGAGGTTCGCCCTCTATTATCAAGTAGATCAGCATTTCCTCTACAGTGCTCCTGCTTCCCATAAACACCCCTGGTTGATTTACAGCAACTTATATTTTGAGGGCAAAAATCTCTTCCCCAATAGAGACCATCTCCTGAGAACCAGCACTTCTGGAATGGGGGAGCAACTGGCTACTTCCCAGTACACAGATTACTGGGATCTGGCCATCCTATCCACCAGCCAATGTGTTTTTGCCACAATTGTTCAGCTGAGTTTCCCAAGCAGAAAGCTGCTTTATTAATGCAAGGAAAACCCACATTGGGAATTTAGAAAAGCCAGTAGGTCTCTTGAGACCACATGAGTCTACAGTAGGATCAATCCACGTGGGAGGGCAGGAAAAGGGGAATCTAGTGGCTATATCTATAATATTATTGGCTGTCAACAATGAGGACACGGCCATTAAGCTAACCTGTCCATACTGTCTGGTTCTAGGTTTTCCTACCATTCTCATCGCCATAATATCTGAGCACCTTACAATGAGATCTTCCTGGTTTCTACCATTTAAAGATCCATCATTTGTCTGACTGGATCTGGTGGGGCTCTGGTGTGTTATGTTTTGTTTTGAATTGTATGTAATTTTATTTTTGCACACCCTCATTATAAAAGAATTTTCACATTTCCAGAATTTTGTGCAAAAACCTAATTCATGGGAAATTTAATTTTGTGGGTTTTTTTTTTTTTTTTGACAAACTAGGAACCAGAATATTTTAAAAGAATTTCTGAAATGTTTTTATGGTATGCTGGCTAAATGTGTGTGGGCAGGGTCTCCCTCTAGTGGCTGATCCCAGATATGAATCTGCTACTTAATTTAGCTCGTGCAATAGATGGTTTTGATGCTGAAGCTCACTGATTCCATCCCCAGTGCAGTTGGCCTGTGTGCAACCCAACTGCATTACAGGCTGCTCTGAGCTTGTTAAGGAAAAATTCTCTGTTGTGATACATCACTGGATAAGATTGAATTTGGGGGTGAGAATGGAAGAAAGGTTTGGAATGACTGGCAATGCTTACTCCTGCAATTGTTCTTGGTTAGCAGCCGTAATTTACTGGACACGGTCTGGAAAAAGAGTCAAATAATTTAACTGAACAAAAGTGGAGACCACATACTGGGCCAAAACCCAGTGCTGGTATAAGCTAGTGTAGCTGTAATAAAATCACTTTGCAGTCTGTGGAATTGCACTAGCTGACATTGGGGGTGATTTTGACACAGTGGGAAAGTGTAGGTGCTGTGTCTTCCCCGATGGGCATGTTTGAAATCGGTGTTGAGGAAAGTAGCCAGATTGCTTAGCGTAGCTCCATTGACCTACCAGCACACCCATGCCATTGCCACACATGACATTGTCATGGGAGCTGTTTACAAGATGGCTGCATCTTGACTGAGATACCAGGAACCTCCAGAGCTAAAACCCCAAGCACCTACGGGGAGAGACCTACAACTCCCCAGATATCCATGGGCTGTGGATGCAGAGCCTCGGGGCTCATTGTTGTGGCTACAGATACAAATTTTGTATCTGCACAAGACTCTACCTACAACACGAGCAGAAGAACCTGGCTCCTCTACCTGGTGGCTATAACAACTCCCGTTGCTGAGGTTCCATCACAACAGGGGACAAGTCTCTCTCTCATATTCACATCCTCCCTCCCCCCAAGCTATTTTCTCAACACAGCCATGCTCTGCTTCCTTTCACCTGGCTTCTGCAGGTACCATTGGCTTTTTCCTGCCTCGGTGCACCTGCTGTGCTCTTTTTCCTCCCTACTCCTCCTGTTCTTCAACCTGCAAACCTCTGCTAAAGCTCCCTGCTGCAACCCCAATGCTGGGCCACAGTAGAGTTGAGAGCTCTTGTGGGCAGCCCAGGCTCAGGGCTTGGCCCTGGCCAGCTGGCTGAGGTTTGGGACTCTTCCAGATTGATCCAGGTGCCAGCGGTCTAGGTAAGACTCTAGACTGCTCGGGGAGCCAGCCAGAGCTTGGAACTATACCAGTGGGCCAGCTGGTGAGAGCAGGGTGGCAGGAGGGGCTTGGGCAAAAGGGATGGAGCAGGGCAGGGCTTGAGGTAGAAGAGGCAAGGGAGGAGCTAATCTTTCCAACTAGGGAGTGCCACCCCTCCAGTCCTCTCACCTCTCCTAGGCTCCTCCTCTCCCACCCCGGCAGCTCCTCCTCTTTCCCACCATAGAACCACAGACGTGTTGGAGTGGGAGAGGCCTCAAGAGGTCATCTGGTCCTTGCTCAAGGCAGGGCCAAGTAATAACTAGACCCTTCCTGCCAGGCATTTGTCTAACCTGCTCTTGAAAACCTCCAGTGATGGAGACTCCACAGCCCCGAGCAGCACTCCCGTCATTTGCACTGAAGATTAATCCCACTTCTCTGACCGGAGCCTCTTTCCCATGAAGCGCTGTGCATAACTCATTTGCATAACGCTTTTCACTGTGGCCCTCATCCTCCTGCCCCCCATTCCTTCCTGCTTCTAGTTAAACTCACCTGAAATCATCTGTCGTTTGTGGCAAAGACTACACCGCCTTGTGTGTTCGTACAGCACCTTGCATGGTGGGACCCGAATGAGAGTGTGGGGGACTTCTAAAATCCAAATAAATACTGTGAATCCACCCGTACCACATGGTGCCAGTGCATTCTGGGAAACTTATCCCATAGGGCCTCAGCAGCCACTAGAGTGTCTGGACTAGCACCAGTAGCTTATGAAGCTGTGCCAGCTAGGCAGTGTTCCCGGTAAGCTGAGCATGGGGGCAGTCCCAGGAGAAATTCAAATGCTGCTCAGTTGATTAACTGACTATGTTTCTACTGGCAGTGCACATCTGCACATGCCTTGGTGCACACAAAATTTATTCTGCACACGAATGGAAAAAATTAGAGGGAACACTGCTTCTGGGATGTTCTGGGATGGAGCAGAGCTGGCGTGGTGTGGGAGGTACCATGGGCATTGCAAAAGGAACATTGTGCAAGTCTAGGAAAGCACCCACAGACTGGAAGATCATTCAGGTGAGGCAGAACTTCTGCCAGGGTTGCTAACCAACTGCTGACCTGGGTGCCTACAAACTACTAGAAGTTGTACTCTGGACATTTTCCGGACAAAGCATCCATTGAGCCAACAGGTGACACATGGACACATCCACACAAACGAATCCCAAGGAATGGCCATAGATGTCACTTTTAGCCATTCACTGGCCACCACTTCGGCAAACGCTAGCTCTGAGCCAGCAGTTCTTGCTCCCGTTGTACACACATCGGGGCTTGCCTAAGAGGAAATGAAAGGCTAAACTGCACATGTCTTCAGAAGCAGCAGAGAGACCACGTGGAGTAACTGTGGCATTACCAGCTCGTCCTCAATTGTTAATGTGATGTCCAGCATTCACCTGTCAGACTAACCCAAAACTCAGTGACACCAGGGGGAAAACTCCCATTGACTCGATCATTGGATTGGGGCATTTCTTCTGGTTGATTCTTGTATGTGAAAAGCTCCTAGGGAGAGTGTAGTGCAGCTGTTTGGCCTGGAGGAAACTGCCCCAGCCCAGCACCTCCCCAGAGCAGCCCTGTCTCTGGCATTGAATGGCTTGGGATCAGGCCGCCTTGTCTTTGGGGAGATGACTGGGCTGGACAGACAGTTGCTTGAGAGGAACACCTTCAGTCTGGGCCAAATCCAGGCTTGGAGTAAACAGGACCCCTTCCACCATAGTCCAGCAGCGGGCATAACTCCCTTGTGCGTTAAGGGCTCGGCTAGGACACTGCTAGCTAACACGTTGTCCCAGCCTACTCTCGGCTGGGATGTGGGCCTTGAGGAGAAGGCCCGGCAGAGAAGCCTGTACAGGAAGATGGCAGGCATGTAGCCGAGTGACAGTTTAGAAGAGTTCCCTTTCTCTCTCGTTTTATTTACCATCAGCCTCTGAACTATATGGTCCACTGAGCCCTTGATAGCTACAAATGGGGTCATAGCAGCCCTGATCTGTGCTGGAGGCACTGCCCTGGGACAGTATTTCCAGGCCCACCAAACAGCCCTGATCTGTGCTGGAGGCTCTGCCCTGGGACAGTATTTCCAGGCCCACCAATGGGGGGAGGGAGGAAGAGAAAGGGGGCAGTTGTCCTGGGACCAAGTGATTCAAAGGGGTCTGTGGCTCCGAAGTAGTAGCAGTGGCTCCCTGAGCCCTTTAAATCACTGCCAGAGCGCTGCACCACGCGCTCTGGGCAGAACGTGTGGGGGAGGTGTGCCCCACACTGAGCAGGGTTGAGGGCCGGCTGCCCTTGACCCCGCCCTTCCGGGAGCATAAAGCCGGCCCCCCACTCATGCATTGCCCAGGGGTCTGCAGAGACTGTTGGCTCCGCTGAGGAGTTCTGTTCAGTTTGTGGGCTGGATGGCTGGCTTTTATTCCCCTGCAGCAGGGGGTTCGACCTTCTTTCATGCGCAGATCCCTAAAAAATTCTAATGAAGGTTGAAAATGTAGACAGCACTTGTGCCCCCCTCATCCCCCGGGGACCTGTGCACCATGAGTTGAAAACACTGCACTACACTAGCTCTAGGGGCAGAATAACCCGCGGGTTGCATTTGTTACTAGAAACTCAGTCAGGGCTAAGGGCTTGTGCTCTTCTTTGGGAGCCCAGACTTGCCCCAGTCCCTTTAGCTGCTTTGTAGTCAATGAAGCAAATACTAACTGGTCTTTTCTGAACCCAGACGTTCTGGGCTGGATTCGCTCTCATTCTCACTGGTGTAAATCCGGAGTAACCTCACCAAGACAGGTGCAAAGCCACTTAAGCCCATGGCGTTGCCC